AAATTCGACTCTTTGGGTCCCTAAACATCAAATGTGATTTAGATATACTACTGAATTTTGCGCGGTAAATTTCCGACCAGATTTTGATTCGGCCTTGAAAAGGTACCCGTTTGACTTTTTTAGAATTTCTTTGTCACATTCGGATTTAGCCCGACGAAATCTATGTTTCTGTCTATCTCGTGAAATTGTTTATTCAAATTCAGTCTTCGGACTCGTAACTGAACCTAGTCCCTTTCGGCCTTCATAACTTTGTAGTGATGGGTCTTGCGGATAAATTTTCGGTTAGAAATGCTTAGAATGGACTGAGGCCTTTTTCTGGCTATTTAAAAGTGTAAAAATGTGTAGGATGGAGATTGCCTTTATTGCGACAGGGCCAATCTTTGCACAGCCAAAAAATCAGTTTTATTCCGCAAGTTGTATAACTTCCTTCAAGATGAAGTCAAGACGGAAATTTCTAGGGCAGCCTTTGCTCTATTAAATGTACAATTCAGATTATCTTATTGCTAGGCAGGATTTACAGTTTTATTTTTCATCGCACTTGACTTTGGGTGTAAAAACACTAAAATCCGTTTTTGTGAAAAAAAAACATTCTCGAAAAGTGACCTTTTTGAAAAGGGAACTTTAGGATGCTTCGCTGAATATAAAACAAATCCCTGCGTGCTACATTCTGTAGAGTGAAACCTGCTGGAACAGCTCTCACTAAAAATGAAAGCCTCAGACGCATAGAAATAAATATTCGACAAAGTGCGAGAAAACTTTCTAGCGCGTTTTTTGTCCAGTAAAACGATGTTTACGACTTTTTTTCACAAATATAAACTTTGAAATGCTTCACAAGCGTTAAACTTTCTCATTTTTTTCTCAATAGGTAGCGATACAATTTCGGAAGAATGTCTTAATGCGCTGCTTATCAATTTTAAAAACGTTTTTTAAAATAATTTTCGGGCCCGTTTCAGAGCCGAATCAAAACTTGGCTGGGAGTGGGACTCGAGAAAATGCCAGTTTTTAAGATTTGGTTTCGATACTTTTTTCTTCCTAAGACGATCTCACTGCTCTCCCGATGTCTTTTGTACAGTTTTGTTTGTGGATCCACTCCTGTGGTTACCAAGTACAAAGTGAGGCTAAAATATTGGCTTTGAAAAAAGCGGCTTTTTGCCAAACTTTGGATATCTTTGCGAGTTTTTCAACACCTTTTTATCACTCTCTTAATCTCCAACTGCTCACGTTATTGGTGTACAGTTACTAGACTAAAGCAGTACAACTGGTCAGTTACGTTCCAGAGGGGACTCAGCACCATATATCCATAGATAATTACGCCGTTACGCTTACCTAACTTTGACACTATTTAAATCGGCCTCTTTTCCGTTCATTCCTCCCTCTTTGTGGCTTAATCTTCTTCTTCTTTCAGCTGACCGACGGATTCTAACCAAAAAAAAGTTTTTAAGTTCAAAAACTCTAAAAAAAAAGCTCTTCTTTAAATCCAAAAATTAAGGTTTGAGAGAAAGATGGTTGAAAGAATTCTAAGATAGTTAAAAATTAGAAGACGAAATGACTGAAATAAAAAAAGTTGCTGTCAAAGTGAAACTAGTAGCTAGTTACTACTTTGAAAAACGAAGAAAATCTGCTCTTAGTTTTAATCTCTCGCTTTCCCATACAAAGTTTCGAATTTATTTTAGCGCCCACTTTACTGTACTTTCTGAATCAATATCCTCGGAATTTGACGCTGATTCTAAGAAGATAGAGTATACGACACACCACGGCTCTTTCATCCACAAACAGCTCCTACTCCAACTCATCTTAGTCCGTACCTATTGCGACCTTTTCTATCTAAATAAATGGGGTGGTTGGATATTGACTGAATGAGCGTCGGAAGAGGTAATCGATTTTCCGTGACCTAACGTACCTCAATGAATCTGCTGCAAATCCAATATTTCATAGTCCAACAGCCGATAATCGACTCACGGATAAGTTTCAAGCTATTCTGAACTAACCGGCACCAGATTAGTTAAAAACTTACAGAATCGTCACATGGTTATTTTGCCGACTGTGAAGTATTCCATTTCTTGTTTTTCAGCCCTGGGAAATCCATAATAAAACGCCTGACTCCAGAAAAATAAACTGCGTCGATATCTTCTAAGACGCGAAGTAAGTCTATATGACCTACGCTCGGCGTGTGATTTACAGAAACCAAGAAGTATCACTTAAAAGCATTCGCCTTTACTAAAAACAAGGCTGCTCTAAAATAGGTTTCTTCCGACCTACAGACATATTCCAGGAAAATGAAGCACTATATTCGCGATTTAGAGATAAAAAAGCGTGAAAAACTCGTCCACATTGTGAAATCTACACATGGAAAAGATAGCTTATGGCGGTATTTCTGATGGCAATGGAAAACGTCTACACCGACTGCTTGAATTTTACAACAAAGGTGTGTCTCTTTTCATCATTCCAATACTGCGCAACTTTCTTCTTCGCAGCCAAATAGACAAGTTAGACCCACTCAGAAAATCAGCTGTAAATAATTTTGGATGAAGTGCTACTAACCAATATTCGTAATTAAATTCAAACCTTTCCAACTTTATGCAGTACGTCAACAACACTTTCGTGAATTCATCATATAACTCGTACATCGCACCATCATGACCATCTGGATGCACTTTAAATATTTCCAAGTTCGGTGTGAAGCTCAAAAGAAATTCTACATGTGTTAATGTAACATATTTATCTCGAAACGTCAGTTCTAAATTCACACAGTTAGGCAGTATCACCTGGATTTGGCCGACGTGCTCATTGAATTCCGTTGTAGAAAAGTTATGAGTTTCGAAGAGTTCGAGTTTTATGGATCTAATCGACGTAAGAGATGGTAGGAGGTGGACAAAATCGTCAAAATGTAGACTTCGAATTTCAAGGTATTGGAGGTTTGATAGTGAGGGGGGAAGACAGCGAGAGGTGAGGTGCACGCTGATGATGGTTGATCAGAAGGAGATCTGTACTTGTGACTGAATAACGTCAAACAGACCCTCGAACTTCACACTGTCATAATATTTCTGAATATATTCAATCCACAAAGTTAACTTAGTGAGATGTGGTAAGGATGCAACCCACTTCTCTGCTTCCCAATACGGATCGTCATAAAATACTTCTAAGAAACGAAGTTTAGAAAACGTTCGTAGCGGGTAGTAGGCATGTAACAGGAACAGAAAGGAACAGAAACAGATAGGAACAGAAACAGATAGGAACAGAAACAGAAATGGAACAGGCACAGAAATGGAACAGGAACAGAAATGGAACAGAAATGCATCGAGTATTTTAAGGCTTTTGCATTTTTCCGGCCAAGGGTAGTCCAGAAAACTCCGACGATTTGATATTCAGAATCAGGGCATCGAGTTCTACTAAAAAAACAGTTTTTCGAGGTTTTCACAACTAATCCTGAGAACTGGATTTTGAAAATAAAAACCGATTTTCAAAGCCATTTTCAGAGCTACAAAGCCCGGGATAGTTTTGTTTGAAAGAGCACACTTTTCTCTATTGCCTGGTATATTTTTGAATTTTTTCTGTCAAGATTGAGATTTTTAAAACTCAGAACGTTCAAAAAGGGAGTTTATAAAAGCCTAAAAACCGTTCTGAGTTTTAAAAACCCTCAATTTTCACAGAAAAAAATTCAAAAATATACCAAATAGTAGAAAAAACCGTGCTCTTTTAAACAAAACTATCCCGGGCTTTGTAGCTCTGAAAATGGCTTCGAGAATCGGTTTTTAATTTTAAAAACCAGTTTTCCAGGATCGACTGCGAAAACCTCAGAAAACTGCTTTTTTAGTACAACTCGATGCCCTGATTCTAAATATCAAATTGCTGAAGTTTTCTAGACTACCCTTGGCCGGAAAAACGCGAAAATCTTAAAATTCGCGGTGCATTTCTGTTCCTGTTCCATTTCTGTTTCTGTTCCTGTTTTCTTTCTGTTCCTGTTTTTCTGTTCCTGTTCCTATCTGTTATAACAGGAACAGGTGCATGCCTAGCGGGCAGGCTTCCACGAAGTCTGTCGAGGCAAATAATTTGAGGGAGCGAACAGTTTTGGGATCAATGAGCGGTAGGATGTCATTTGTCACACGTTTGTCTGTAGGTTTGTTAAGGATATCAAAGTACAAGTAAGTTTGGCTGAGTATCGAGTCGATTCGAGAGTTTAGTCTTTTGAAGGCACGGTAAAGATCGGCTCCGTCAAAGTAGCTATACAGTTGGAAGAGTAGTTCGACGGGAAGAATTTCGAGCGTAGGTTGAGGTATCTCGGACATGTCAGTTTGTTGTACGCCGTAGTTTTGTGCGTTTTTGCTTGTTATATGACAGAAAGCAAGTTTTAACTCTTGTATAAAAGACGTATTGATACGGTGCAAATAAATATACCTTACAAATTCTTTCGCCTTATGGTGCAATAACGTGAGAACGCAAGAAACTCGATCTGTGTTCTTCTTTTTTTTGTTCTTTTTCTGTACACTTATTGCAGCGGTAAAATAATAGCAATTCGAAGAGAACAAAATTGTAATATTTATTTCTCGAGTTCTGTTTTTTCGAGAGTGATTGTGTAATATCACTGAAGATTAGAACACCTTCATTCTAAAGATTTCACTCCTTACTGATTATCATTGTGCACAAAAGACCGTAATTTTAGCTGATGCAGAACTATAGTAATGCCCTAGCTGCAAGTTGCACAATTTTGCTCTGAAATGAAGGAATCTCTCTCGCTAAAGAGTCTTTAGTTTTCTAAATAGATATAAAGGGATTAAGTGCCGTGCACGACTAGAATCCCCTAAAGGGAAAAGGATCGGCCATAGCTTGGAAAAAGGTGGCAAAGAAGATTATTCTGCTTCAGCAGAAGAATACGAAAAAGAAACGCCCATTAAACTTATGAAAAGTATGTCAAACATTGTTATCTTTTCAAAAAAAATCCAAACTTATTTAAAACCAAAAACACAATCAGCAAAATATAGCTCTAAACAATCGGTTTGGTTTCAGACTTGTCGACGTCCAATACTTAGTTTAATGTTGTCCATATAGCAACTTCCAAGTCCATGCCGTCTAATCTCTGTGCCAATCATTTCTGTTAAAGGCGGAATTTTTATTGATTTGTTCCATGAACTCCATTTTCCCGCTTTAAAGTTCGTTCGATTGAAGACTAAATATAAACAAATATTTTAGGGGTTAGCTTAGTCTCTGTTATGGAAGACATTTTACAAATGGGTGAGCCAAGTACTGTATAAAAATAGGGCAAAAGAATATGAGTATGCGGTCAAATCACGCAGATTGAAACACCAGGAAAAAAACTGACCCTAAGCCACCACTGCCTCTTTAAAAGACATTTACTAAGTCCCTTACGTGCTTGTGAGCGCCTGTTCGTCTGGATCGAAGTGAGCTGCTCTGTGGCCATCTCTTTCAATACTTCAAAAAAAGCAGTCTTACCTGAGAGCGATATCTTTCTCTCCTCAATATCCGTAAAGTGCACAGTAATTGTCACTTGTCCACCTTCACATTGAATGTCTGATGAATAGTGCAGTTCTGCTTCTTCAGTCTTAAAAAATGTAGAATAGTGTCCAACATCGGCACGTTGAGAAATCTCTATGAGAACGTTCGAGAAGGATGTTCAAAGGAAATCGATAGCGTCTGACGGCTGTCCAGCAAACGCGAAACTTCTTTGACCAAATTTTTTTACGAAAAATTTCTTAGCTTCATGGATCTGAAGACAAGGTTAGATACAGTTTTTCAAACTGAATTGCCGTTTACTTTAGTTTTGGTAGGAAAATTGGGTTTTAAATTTCAAAAAACGTATTTTCGATTTCCTAACCAAGACATTTTCTCAAGACAAATTTTTAAGGACAAACTTCTGTACATGATTTTCTACAAAAAAGGCTAATTTAGTTTACTCTTTTATTGATCCGGAAAACCTGCAAGAATTTGTACAGCTTCCAACTTATTGTACTGTTTTGTGGCTTCCAACATGAAGCTAGCTAGTTTGCATAGATCGACTAGAGAGGAGGAAAATTTCCTGTTTTATAGAGAAACAGCCATGACGGAGGTTGTGTGATTCCCCGATTTCAGTCTATGAAAAAACTAAAAGTATAACGCAGTTAACTTACGTTTTATTTTTCCATTCTGAAACTACGCAAAGAGACCTGTACACTTTTTTTTTCACTGAATAACCCACCGGACTCTCTATACATTTTGCGTAAAAACTTACATTTTTAAGTTTCCCCAACTCAGATGAAATTACGCTTCTGTACAGAGCTCTAAACTTTTGGAGCCTTGTTGTGTAACGCCGTTACGCGCTTTAAAAAATGGGCTAAATATGGAACGCTTAGAGCAATAGACTTGAATGGCATACCTTAGATACAGTTTATTCATCTGCGTCGAATGACATTAGAGTTGAACTCGTAAGTACTTCCCTTCCCTTTCGTGTGTCAAAACCGCAAACCCGTTAGGCGTTGGCCAAGCCGCTGATCACTGCATTTGAACTTAGAAGTTCCTCACCATTTTCGCATTATGTACTTTATCAACGGCGAACGTTCGGTCTCATTAGTCACGACTGTCAGATTGAAATTACAATCTCCAAAATTAGTGGTGCTGTTCGATTTGGAATTAAGCGAAAGAAACGGAAGAGTAGCATTATCTGTGCAGTGAGTAATCCAGCTTGGGAGTCGAGTTGTGTTGTGTAACTGCAAGCACTAGAATAAATAAAACGAACAATAAGGAGCTGCGTAGATTTTATGCGCAGCAACAGTACGTCTAATTAAAACAAAGCATCTTCCAAGAAGCGTTAGTACGGGAAGTGGAACTAAAATTTTGTGACGAGAGATGCGGAAGTGTGACAAAGGGGGTATGCTTAGCCTCTCTAGTACCAAAACAGTTTCTTGGGCGATTGCGCGACATTTCCGCTACCTCACATTTGACCACACAGCCATGATGTGCCCGTCGGATCCAGACACCTCACAAAAGTAGCGGAATTACCGGGTAGTGGAAGTGTCGTGTCACATCTTGGACGGGAATGCGTACGCACACGCCGTACTTAGGTAACTCAGATCCAAATCGTTTTTAACAAAGTTCTAGTTCTTGTCTTTTCAGCTTTAAAATGCAAAGCATGATTTTGTCACCAGCTTAACAAAAAATCTTTTACTCAAACAAAAGCTTAAATAGTACCCTTGCGATTTGTTTGCGCTTCAAAAAGATAAGCTTTTTTTGAAACTTGAGTCGCAAAACAGATCGAGAAACTTACACTAAATTCAGCATCTCCGTTTTGAATCCAATTCTTTTCATCGGTAAACCAGGTGCCATTTGGAAGAATAACATTGTACATTTCGAGGAGGCCAAGACGCTGAAGCTCGTACATGTTTTCAGTGAGGGAGGCGTTATACAGATTCGAGTTGTAAATCTTCATGTCGCTGGTTTTCGAGGTGATGGAATCAGTAAAATCCGCATATTTCTAGATTTGTTCCGTCAAAATCGACTATATCAAATTCTGCTCCTTTAAAACTTGCGTTGACTAGATTGACTTCAATGAAATGAACTCTCGTTAGAGAAGAACGACTAAAATCAGCTCCTTTCAGATTCGAGCGACTGAAGACCGTTCGTTCTTCCTCTTCATCGTCAGAACCAAAGTCCGAATAGGAAAAGTTTACACCTGTCATTAGAGAATCACTGAATTCGGTTGTGTCATAAAAACTGCATCGAATAATTGAAGAGTTGGTCAGGTCGACTGCAGACAATAACAAATAAAAGAAAGCTGTTTCACTGTAGAATGTACTTGTAATTGTAATATTTACGAAGTTGGCTCCAGAAAGATCGAGTGATGACTGTCTTTCGTTTGTTTTGGGTAAAAGTTTATTTTTCTGGAGAAACATGAAGAGGCGAGTTTTCTGTGCAGAGTCCAATTCATTCAGGGCTAAGAGAATCTTGCTGCTAACATAACTTAGCCGTGTTTTATCATCAAGAAATGTGTGATTGCTCTTGAGGAGAGCACCTGAGATATCTTCAACAGTCGACTTGTACAGCCCTTGCCGATAGAGTTCATCGGCTTGATCTTGCTCCAAATTGTAACGACGATCATCTTCATTCCGTTCGGCGTTGTATCGTCGGTCGTCAAGTTCGCGTTCCTGTTTTTGACGTTGACTATCGACTTTCTGCTGCATGAGAGTTATGACGACCGTACCAATTCCGATGGAGAGGGGAATTAGAGCACCGAGAGCAACATTGGTCCAGTTAAAACGTCGGGCTTCTCGTTTATCTTTATCTTCGGTTGAGATTTCAGCAGTGGGTGATGCATATTTTTGTTTTTTGAATAGTCGGAAGAAAGACATTTTTGACCGTTGAATATTTTAGAGAAGAAAAAGTTTTTAAAGATGATAAGAAGGTTTTTATTTCGATAAATAGTGTGGCAGAGATAGAGAGGATGACTTAGATCAAACATTTACCTGTGAGAGGCAGAGGAGGGGGAAGATTATGAAGAGGGTGTGCATGATAATAACGAAGCTCTCTTTCTCAAAGTTGATTTTGTTACTTAAAATATAATTTATAATTATTCATGCTAATATTTCGACAAGCTTTTATAAATCCGTAAATTGATACTTTTAATCAGATCAACGTTTTTTCTTTACTATTCGTAGTGTGAATCACTTCAGTTTACTGCCTTAAATTATTATGCGAGAGTAGGAGGAGGTGTTCACGAAATAAGTAAAAGGTCATTTGTATTATTAAGGAGGAGAAAATGAACAAGAAGTAACAACAAGTAAACAAAGAGTCGAGATAAATATGTACAAAGCCGTTGATCGAACGCTGTTGCTTGCAAAATGTCATACTTGTACCTATTTGCCCTGCAGTGCGACAGAAAAGACGTATAAGATTGAACTTCAGTAAGTTAAACAAAAGAGATGGTAACTAAACCTTTATATTGTAAGATGTTTTAACGACAAAAAGAAACCGCCCGAATCTTTAAAAGCGTCAGAACTCGGCAAAAATTTTCGTGGTTGGCGGATTCTTTTCTGCTTTTACCGAGAAAGCTTTGTTTAACGGCATAATTTAGGTACAGAAACTCGAATCTCTGAGTTGAGAAAAGATCAGCTGAACGTCAAGCGAAACTTCAACATTCTAACTTACCTTCACTCAGTTGCGACTTCCCAACAAGCAGTCGATCACATCAAGCTGTTTCACTGCTTTCTTCTGTTGATGAATAAAACGCAGTTCCCATGGATGAAGTGCTCGTTTCCAAAAAGAAATGTCCGCCAAATATCCACTATAATCACTGACCATTACTTCAATATGTCGAAACGGCGCAAGGTTCACCAGATTAGATAATTCTTTATCGACTAACTGCCTTCCATTCACATAGAGTGCAAGCGTCGAATTTGAGGGACGCATAGTGTACGCTACATGGATCCATTGATTTGGCTGCAATCTAACATCTGAATTTGTTACTAAAACAGTGCGTTGCATGCTGTCCCGGTCAAATAGGCACAGCCTCGGTACCCCGTTTTCTTTCGTCTCGAAACGAAGACAGTAGAGATGTTCTCTTTGACTGTTGAGATATCGGAAGATTATACCCATCGTATCATTTTCTCTGAGATCCTCGAATTTTAACCACAGAGAAACTGAAAAGGAACCGTCATGGTCAGAATTCAAGTCAAAAGTGTTTGATATTGAGACATAGTAGCTGGCTGCGTTTAACTTCAAGACATGTTGAAAATGAGAGTCGTTCGTGTGAATACTTACGCCGTTCGCTTCAGAAAAGCTCAGATCTTCGTCTAAGCCTTTCACCATACCTGTCTCAGTTAGAGAATTAAGAAACGGATTTGTGTCAAAGGCATCAACGTTTGAAAAGTCGATGTTGATGAGGAGTTGGTCAGACATTTTCGATTTGAAACTTTTGAGTCTGAAGTATTTTCGGAGAAACCAGTTTTTTACGATCAAGGTGTAGAACTGGCGAGAGACTGCTGAGACACGAACGAGATCGGGTATGGATGGTAGACCTAGGAAAATTTCTTGCAAGATTTCAGACGATAGTTGATGGACTTCAAAAGGAGACGACATTTTGTAAAGGCTGACAAGTGGTCTGAAAAAGTAAAAATGACAAGAGAATGCATTTAAAATCGTGCTTATTTGCAAATTTCAATGCATCTTTGTGTCTTCATCCTTGAAAAAGTTGTACCTCTCTTCCCTCTTCAAAATTGTCAAAAAATAAAAGAAATAGTAAGCAAAAATAAAAAAGTAAAAAACAAAATTTTGGTTGGTATGAGTTAGTTTTTGTTTCTGCTCCTAACTTCTGCTGCTGATGGCCGGCAAAAACTACAAAAACCGCCCCAGTGCCTCTCTAAAGTCTCTCTCCAACCTGAAAGTTGGGTAGCCTGAAGTAGGTCCAAAAAGAAATGTACTGGTGCAATCCTGGCGGAATAGCTTCTAAGGAAACACAAATATCAAGGGATCTTCGACGCCAGTGCTTTAGTGGATCGAACGCTTTTGAGGAAGGTTAAGAGTTGAATGGAAGTTTACTACAGCCTGTTACAAAGAGCTAAGCGAGTTTGCAGCACACTAGTAAGTGCGAATGCGTTTAGAAAGCCAAAAGTTGTCTGTCTATTGATCTAATGCAAAGTGAGTGACCCCGTCATGGTTCCGCGTTCTTTGATTGACTGTGTACGTGACACTGAGCCTTCGTTAAGCTCTCTTTCAGTTCTTGCTAGCTATGCAATCTTATCTGCTGTGAATCGGTTACTTTCTGTCTAAAAGCTACTCTCCGTTGCTTACTCGATGTTCGAGAATCTTAGCTGTTCAAGGCCGCCCCTTACCTTTCCCCAAGGCCCGCCGTTTCTCCGATACCTTTCGTCTGCGCATTGTAAAATGCGATTTGTTTGACTGGTAGAAGGAGAAACTCCCCCTCTGTCCCCATCGGTCGCTGGACGGCTAACTCTCAGACACTGCTATACTTTTTATGTCCTTTCAGTTTCAGATGCTGTTATTATGACAATTTTATAAGTTCAGGGTTTTTCCTACTATTGCACTGTCTCTATAGTCAGCGACTCACAAATTTCAGAAGGATATCGACCAGGTTCGAAACTTATCTGGCTACGGACACCCTCTGCAGTGTTAGGTTTCGAACAGGTATGATACCTGGCAGAAATGATGACATATTTTTTCTAGCAATTAAAAAAGCTGCAAATACTTTGACAGTAACTAAAATTTGGTGGCACCTGACAGACTTACTGTTCCTCATTCTTCATTCGAATGAGGAAGAAGAAGAAGAAGAATATGGCACAGTAAGTCTGTCAGGTGCCACCAAATTTTAGTTACTGTCAAAGTCTTTGCAGCTTTTTTAATTGCTAGAAAAAATATGTTGACTGTACGCCAAAGAGTTAAGACGTCTCTTTCATAGGTTGAATCACACAGAATAACTGTTTTTGTTTGATCTCATTTATTTTTAGGATGAAGAAATGTTAGCAGCAGCACTAACTTTTTCTATGGAGACGAGCAGCAACGACGAAACAACGTTAGCAGCGTCGGTCTCAACTAAAATTAGTGCATCATAGAAACGAACTGAACTATAAAGCGAAAATAAACCCAATTTTCCACATCCTTATTCTGTTCTTTTTTGAGCTTTCTTGTGTCTTATATCTTTTTACTTAGATTTTAACATTATACTACTAGTAGTACACTATGCGTGCGCTGTGGCGGCTAACACTTTTCTGTTATACTAAATATTCTTTCTTGTCCTGTGACACTCCCACCCACTCCTATTGGCCTAACGAAGATTTGACATAGAAATGATTCAATGGCAGATCAGTCTGGTTAAGCATCCGTTTACAGATCTTCGCTAGGTGCTCCAGAACCTGAGATCATGAGGCGCATAGCTCAAGCGTCACACAAGTCTCAAACTTTTTAATAATAAGGATAAACCAGAGAGCAACAACCGTACCTCTGATATTGATCGTAGGAACTAGTCTTTGTCTAGAGTTAGTTCTCTTTACTGGCGGTTTAAGGGGAAGGACTTATTAAGGAGCTCTCAGAGAAGGTATAAGACATTTTTACACCGTGCATCTTAAAAAAAACTCTGTTAACTTCACAATACTTTTTTTCATAATGCAACTGATTGTTGTGTTAACCATAATTTATATGGTAAGTTAGATGCTCGTTTTCTTTTTGTTTTTTCAATAGAAAAAATGAATAAAATTTTTCTGAGACTCAGTTCTGTGCAAGACCACCTACAAATATATGTGGCAGTGAGAATTAGAATTCAGGGGAATTCGGAATTTCACTAGTGCTAAAAGCCTCGCAGCGGCTCTGTCTGTACTGAAGATTTTTTGTTTTATTTGTGCACCAAAAATGACAGGTTGACAAAAATGACAACGTTGTCTAGCCTTGTTTCACGTATCCTAGATTTATCCTACCTTCTGATATAAGTCCTGCTATTAAAGACTTCGAAATCCTACCCTTTCCTGTTTTTTGCTACTACGAACCCTGACATTTTTAATTGTACTGCACGTTGTCCTTGAGATTTGTATAAAAGAAAAAAATTAAAAAAGAATTTCTTTTCTTTTCCTAACTTCAATGTAGCATATACTGTTTGATTATTGATTAATCCTTGGTTATTGTCGTAGTTATTGTCTAAGTATCTGTTAAGTAGCTAGCAATTATCTTTATGGATCAATCAAGCAAATTTCCGTTTATTAATCTATAAAAACTACAGGAACAAGCTCATTTCCCTGGAAGTAGCGTCCTCTGTCGCATGTAGTTTCACGTTATTTTCAGAGATCTTTGGATTTTTCTTCTAAAAATGACATAACCTTTGCAAAAATTGAGAAAAATAGAAATTTTTTTTATTATGGGTACTTATTTGAATAACTTCTACTCAAATTCGACAAGAAAATAATCAGCGTTACGC